TAGCTTCAAGTCTTATTTGTGCAACATTTCTTCCTGCATCAACACTTCATTGAAAGTCCGAGACTATAGAACCTTTTTCCTGTGATGTCACAATCCTGCTGCACCTATGATATGTTGGTAATTATAATGGTAATCAGATGGTAATGAGTCCATAATCTACCTATTCAAGGTAAACTAGTCAAGCGTACAGCATTCCCACGTGCGCTTGCCATGGTCAAAGCTGCCCATAGGAATATATGCGATCACCGTGGCCAAGGCGGTCAACATGTGGTGGCATTGTTTACTTTCAATCACATGGGTGAAAAAGGACTATAATGCCCAGCAGTCTGCACATGGTCGCTTGGGGGTTCCACACATGCAAGCCCTCCGCAGAATAGTTCATGCCTCTGTGTACGTACAAAACTCAATGAGAATTACTTGTGTTTGGCCCGGGGGACAATTATATGCTGGCACTGCATACTGAATTTGTATCATCTGCATTATAACAAGGGACTTATCTCTAGGTTTAAAAGTCATCTGGCATCCAGTGGTTAACTGCCAGGGTTAATGAGCCATTTCATCAGCTCCTGCCAGCACAGAGGCATGGCGTGGTCATCAATGGAATAGCAACCAACACACGTGATATTTATGCTGATTCGGCTGGTAATTTTAATCATGCCTGTGTCCCTTGTTGTCTGTGTTCAGAGTCTTTAAAGAGCTGATCTTGTTTCTGACAAAACATGAGGCATCTAGGTAATCCATGCAACTGGTAACGACCAATTTTCCCCTAAAGGGAAGGTGAGCAAACATAATAAGCTTCCCTTTCAAAATGACGTACAGCTGCACTCCTGCCCAGCTCTATAATAAAGGCTGATTCGTTTCGTACACATCTGGATCCCAATCAGTGGTCCCAATGCTGGTTCCCTCCATCCATTTGGAGGTTTCTGGTGTCAGTGAACCAACAACGGACTTCTGATTGAGATCCCAATCAGTGGTCCCAATGCTGGTTCCCTCCATCCATTTGGGAGTTTCTGGTGTCAGTGAACCAACAACGGACTTCCAATTGAGATCCCAATCAGTGGTCCCAACGCTGATTCTCTCCATCCATTTGGAGGTTTCTGGTGTCAGTGAACCAACAACGAACTACTGATGGAGATCCAGATCAGTGGTCCCAACACTGGTTCTCTCCATCCATTTGGTGGGTTCTGGTGTCGGTGAACCAACAACGGACTTCTGATTGAGATCCCAATCAGTGGTCCCAATGATGGTTCTCTCCATCCATTTGGCAGGTTTTGGTGTCAGTGAACCAACAACGGACTTCTGATTGAGATCCCAATCAGTGGTCCCAATGATGGTTCTCTCCATCCATTTGGCAGGTTTTGGTGTCAGTGAACCAACAACGGACTTCTGATTGAGATCCCAATCAGTGGTCCCAATGCTGGTTCCCTCCATCCATTTGGAGGTTTCTTGTGTCAGCGAACCAACAACGGACTACTGATAGAGATCCAGATCTGTGCAGAGCTAATAGGCTATAAATCAATGCTGTCAGGGAACTCTGCATGTGTACCCTTTAGCACAGCAAGGTCAGTCGATGGCTGTCGACCAGTCAATGGCCTAGCTGTTATTTTTCAATGATGAGACAACCACTGGGTTTGATTTCCTTGCAAATAACTTCATATAAATTTGCGCATGCACACTGTGAGATGCTCATTCCTAGCGAGCAAAATGGATCGAACAACGTGAAGAGTAGCAAAAGGTGGTTGCCATGAGAACAATATGCACTCCATAGCAACGGGAAGCATTATTACACCCACTGAATGCTCTTGAACGTCAACCCCCATCCTAACAAGATACAAATATTTGAGATCCCTTGGGATCATTCGTTGAATACTAGATGCCTGGCTTATGAGCTGTGGTGCCGTTACTACCGTACCTTGCAGGTCTATATTGGCTCCCACCGTTCTGAAGATGAGGTTCCTTGACAGGTAGTACTCTCTGGCAATGATGGCTCCCAGGACAATGTTAACGGGGCCAAGGGCTACCACAATAATCAGCCTTGCCTAGGAAGAAACAAACAGTTACAATACTGAAGAAAGACTGTAGGAGAATTGGACTCCTGGAACAATGTACCGGTACAGCCAGCCCCTTGTTGGTCGTTAACCCTAACAGTCCTCAGTCCTCCAACGGGTGAAGGATTGAGGACTGTTAGGATTAATTCCATCTGTCAACAGGGCCTATTAATCCATGTGTGGATCTGAGAACAAAACATATCGACATACATGTACATGTATATGCAGCACAGGTTGTGTGAACCTTGTGTGGACTAAGCCCGGCTAAAACAAGGTTTGCCTGACCTCTGAAAACAGGGGTCTGGGTTAGGGACCAGTTGTGGGAGATTATAACAAACATCCAGCTTCAAACAGTGTTCGCAGTTCAAGAAAAATTTAGGAGGTTTCCCCTTACTACACAAGATAAAAGAACATCCACATTAGGAATTCATGTAAACAGAGTTATGGGCGTGGAATGTGTATGTGGCTTGGAAAAATGCATTTGGTTATATCACCATTTTGTTTGAGAGGTTGAGAAACTAATTACTGACGTGTATGAATACACATATACATGTACTTTGATGTGAAATACATGTACACAATGCTGAATGGATTACTGGATACAAATGACCACAGAACTATGGAGGCTCAACAAGCAACTCTTTCTGAGGCATACCCATACAATTTGATTGGTCCTTAATGTCTTCGTTTAGGGGTTCTTGTCACAAACACTGAATTACTTACATGTACTATGGTAGAGGTAGGGATTTTTAGCAGTGTTGCAAAGCTGGGGAGTGGTGATTCAATTTAAGATAACCACTACATATAAACAGGGAAAGGGAAAGTTGAACTAAAGCCTACGGTATTTCTGAATTAGATATGAAGATCCTAGGGTATTATGAAGATTGTAAGGTATGTCTGAACTACTGTAGATATGTGTATGCAGATTCTAGGGTATATATGAACTAGATATGAAGATCCTAGGGTATTATGAAGATTGTAAGGTATGTCTGAACTACTGTAGATATGTGTATGCAGATTCTAGGGTATATATGAACTAGATTTGAAGATCCTAGGGTATTATGAAGATTATAGGGTATTTCTGAACTACTGTAGATATGAAGTTTCTGTGTGGTGGAAAGACACCCTGGTCAGCAGACCTTTTCCCTTATATTTTTAGGGTGAATAGCACCACCTAGTATCAAATATAATATGTCCCCTCTTGCTTTTTTTGCCTAAAAGGGGGGACCCCCGTTTAAGAGATGGTCCAAAACAAAAAAGAAAGAGAAGGAAACAGTCTTTGAGGTTTAAACTCCTTGAGAGCACATTTTACCAGAAATTTGAAATTTCAAATATGACACAGACAAGATCACAAATTAGCAATCTCAATAATTGTGAACCGAGAAAGAAAGACACTCAGACTGAACTCACAAGTTTGATGTCCCTCTCATACTGCTTCAATGTTGAGGTGTTGATTGTTTGTGCATAATTGACAATGCTGTAAATCATGAGAATCAAGGTTCCCACGATGAAGATGAGTAACTCGTAAGGGCGCTCCCCAAAGATGCCATTCAGCACGTAGAAAAGGCAGAAACCTGTAGCAGACGACAAAAATCTAGAGAAGGCCGGGGGAGGGGACGGGGGCAATCGCCTCCAAGAATCAGGTTGCTGGGGGTTCAAAGATGCGCAGATCTTGCCAATTCACAACAGTTTATAATGGAGGATGTCTTGCTTCTAAGCACTGGCTCACCTGGCCATAAGCTGGGTTTTAGTCCAAAATAATGTGCTCATAATCAGTTGACCAGAAGAAAAGTGAACGCTTCATCATGTGGCAGTCTACGATTTGCATGACAACTCTCATTTAGCAGAACCATTGAGAGTGCACTCTCAAAGTTTTGCAAATGCATTCAAATATTCATTCAAACATTTTGCCCAATCATGAATACTCAATCAATCAAAAATTCAATTGTCTGGTCATGAAACTGTATTCTAAAAGAACCTTCAAGGTGTCCAGAGTAAATTGAACGGTGAATGCATATGGCCAACAATAAGGCCCACAATTTTGTGGTGTGTGATGTCGCCGGGACAGAAATCATACATGTACATGTAAATCGACAATTGGGTTTGAACATCAGTTGGACTAATTCAAAATAGAGGACGACCTCTGTCTCGAAATTCATTGGGGTAGAGACCATCACATAAGCATGCATATTTTGTTCTGCTTTCATGGGACTTTGGTATGACTGAGTATTTGATCAAATAGAGAGTTGAGGGTGCAAATATTGAAGTATTCCAATCGAACAAGTCTTTGGCATGTAGACGGACATGAAACTGGCTCTGAAAGTCACTCAAGGAGTTCCTACTGGTAACATGCATCTACAGTACTTACAGATGGTGAGCAACAGGACCATGGCAAATGTGAAATCTTGGGAATCTTTTTTCAAATCGACCAGCCTTTCAATGGTGAGACCAGCAGCTCCCACAATGCTGAGGATGGCCAATGCGCCAAACACCCACTCCTTGCGGGACAGGCTTGAGATAGGACGCCTCTGTTATGAAACAAGAGCACGATCGGGCCGATTATTAATTCACCTTCAGCTTTGCCGTTGGGCATGCCTTTTTTCTTTTGCAACTCTTGGACCACACTGTGTGTACACTGGTGTAAGGGCAAAGCCTGGTATGAAACCCAACGTCGCATTGCAAGAGCTTTATTAATATCTCATTGACTATTTGAGGTCCCAGCTGCTGGTTTGGATTCAAGCCAGTTAACTGATCCAGCAAACTCAGAGGTCTAGTCGTCAAGACTCTGCACTCGTAACTCTTGCAACTCCCAGACCACAACGAGAAAACAATGTGAACATAGATGCTGGTACAAGGGGAAAACCCTGGTATTAAGCTTAGAGGGGCACTCGTACAGTGTTATATTCAAGTCCATCGCAAGTCCTTCCACAAGTCCCTTCACAAGGCCAGTGAAAAGTGGGTTAACAATGACAAAACAATTCACAGCTTGTTTAAACAGCTTGTGAATTTAATTAAGAACTGTGATGGACTTACAGGGACTTGTGATGGACTCGAATACAACACTGACTCACACCTGAAAACCTGATCTAGGCATTTTCACATAAAGCGTGCACTCTTGTCATCCCTGATCACCAGGCCCATAAACATTCCCTCAAACCATCTCAATTCAATTCAATTCAGTGTATAGGGCCTTATGCCACTACCATTTCAGGGGAAACCGCTAACCAAGAACAACTTTCTCTGCCCTAACAGGTACATGTGGCCACTGATACTCCTGCGTGGAGAGAGGCAAGTTGGGGTAAAATGACTTGCCCAAGGGCACAACATGAGCTGGAAGCCAGTTACTGGATTCGAACCCCGACTCTACCATTGGAAATCACCAACCATAACCCCGATCCAAACCAGTAGGCTACAACTCCCCAAAATTTAGAGACTTGTATTTGAACTGTCATCTCTTTAAGTGATTGTAAAATAATAAAAACAATAAGGACTCTCGACCAGACCTTTCCAAAATACGTCTGGACAATTTCGGCCTCTGGCCGCACCCCAAGGTCAGCGAAGGTCACTGGTGCATCACCGGCATTGACGTCCGTTTCTGAACCCGAGGACCACGCCTTTGTAGATTTGGAGGGGTCCGTCGTAGCCATGCTGCCTACATGAATGAGTGGACAAATGGAGAGGCAACTCGATAGGTGAGGTGTCTCAGGGATGAAAAACTGTTCTTTATAAAGAACAAATACATTTATGTACATATGCGTGTTCGGTAAGTTTCCACTTGTAAAAAAGCAACCAGTCAAGGTTCCCCTTTGGAACTCATGAGTATGAGTTCCCCCTTGGAACTCATGAGTATGAGGTGGCTCAAAGAATTCTCTGGAAATCAAAATCCTTGAGTGTTGCCAGCCATGCCATGTGGGCTCATCATTTAAATTCTTCACGCTTTAAAGGTTAATTGAGTCACGGCATGCAACTGGGAATTTCAAAAAAGACAAAACAACACAGGAAAAATGAGGAAATCCTATGTCATGAATGACTTCACAAAAAGTATTTCAATATTTGCAGAGGAAGATGTAAAAATAAGGAAATCAGCTGATCTGAGCAAAAGGTACAATCCTGAAGCCAAGATCAATGACCAGTAGATTCTGATCACATTCACCCATTCTACAACGGAGGAAGGAACCACTTACAACATTATTACTAAAGAATAAGCCTAATGCTCCGTGCTAAGACTTTTCATGGCAGCTGTACAATAAACACAATTTACAAAGAGTTTCCATCTGACAAATAGGCAACATAATTTATGTTGCCTAATTTTACGTTGCCTACTTTATCCTTTCAACATGTTCAAAAGGTTAGTTCAATACTAGTTTGCACATGTGAAAAAAATGGGAAAGAGTTATATACGGACAACACTTATGCCCCTAGTGTGCATGCAGTGCGTCCGTTAGTGCAGACACCTGAGTGTGGATACCCTCGCCTCGTGCTGATTGTGACGTCATGAGCTCAGCCAAGGATGTGCTGGCCGCACTAGCCAATGAGCGCCGTGCTAGTATCCCACAGCGCCGTGCCCATCCGTGTTAATACGGTACCAATGGGAAATTTTTCGCTGTGCCCGTGTGCACAAACCAGTATAAGACTTGTATGAAAAAACTGAATCTTTTTCTAGGTAGGCTACGTACATGTAAATGCTTCAGAAGTTTCTTGGCTAAATTTCACTTTTTGGGACATGCTATCACTTTCTCACGGCTATTAATTACAACAATTAAACATTTTAAGGGAAAATTAGAGTTGTCCGTACATGGCCTTCCAACTACCATGATGACAACCATAAAAATTTAACAAAGTGCGGTGTCTCTGCATACATGTACGTGTACATGCAGGCTTAGTGTACAAATAATCACAGTGCCATCTCATCTGTGATGTTGCCGTGGTTTTTAACCACGAGTACCCCCAAGTAAAAAAGTCAAATCCCGATGGCCGATGGCGCCTTCTTCTACAAGCACCAACATTCTGTTTTCGACAGAAATAATTTCAACAGGTATAAAAACCATGCGAGAAAATGCATTATATACCGACATCTTCCAGTTCCGCCATAGTGAAGCTCTGCGGGGACTTACCGTAATCTTTGGACGACTTCAGGGAACTTTTCATGACATGTGACACGGGAAGTCAACCGTGGGAGTGTCAATGAAAACAGTAGTCTGGTTTCCAAGGTAATCAAAATTAGGAGAAGCTGTTCGGGCTAGAGGTGCCAGACCATAGCTGCAAAGTTCAAGGTTTCACGTGATTTTCACGTTGGCCTGACTCGGCAGTTCTAAACTTTTCAATTTTAGCAGAACTTTTGGTTTCAGTTTCAACGTGTTGGTACTTGGTAGGCCGGTTAAAATTTGCTCAGCAACAAAATACACCTGTACTGCAGAGCCCCTGGCTCCATCCAGTGTACACAATGATAACACGGTGTTAAAGTCTAATTGAGGTCAAAGTTCATACCATGCTGGGTATATGGTAATTAGAAAGATGGCGGAGTCCACGACCACAGAGAGTGAAAATGTCTTGGGACGAAAGTGGGACCAGTGCGTTTCGGACACATTGCTTAAAGTTGGTAGGTAGGCCTAGCCTAAACTGATTACGGGAAGAGTTGGCAGCCAGTCGGACTGCACAAACAGGCCCGACTTTGTTACTCAAATTTCAACACTCAAGTACCATTTCAGAAAGATATAACTCAATATTATGCAGACTCCATAAAGACTAATGAAAGCCATGTTTGATTCAATATTGAATCAAATACTCAAATTTCAACACTCAAATACTCAAATTTCAAATACACAAATACACAAATACTCAAATTTCAACACTCAAGTACCATTTCAGAAAGATATAACTCAATATTATGCAGACTCCATAAAGACTAATGAAAGCCATGTTTGATTCAATATTGAATCAAATATGGCTTTCAATGAATTTGATATGTAGGATCCTAATTGACATTTTATACAATAATCTTTGAATAAATATGCTTGAATAACTTGTTGACGCTAAATTTCATGACCCGTTTTCAGCTTTAATTTCAAGTGGCCGCACCCCTGTGTTTTATTTCTAATGTTACATGTATCTTGAACTTGAAGAGGATGTGGCAAGAAATATTTTGATGTACATGTAGGGGTAAGTGCGGGAATATTTGGCCAAGAGGATAATTCGACCAACTGCATTCAAAACAACACAGCTGGTCGAATTTCGTGCTTTTTCTCACTGTATATTGTCCATTGTCCAATAGCCCCACCTTTTTCTTAGGCGTAATTTTGGATTCCATCGGACTGTGGGGAGCAAAGAAAAATCCATTTGAAGTAGGGATGTTTTGAGATTTTTTTCGTACACGTGTAATGCAGAGCAAATTGTGATTATTTTGTTCTCAAAGACAAGTGTGCATTTTAACTGAAAAGCTTCAAGTTTATGTTCTGTAAAATCTTTGTTCTTATTTGTGCCTTATTTCAATGAATCAAATGCTGACTTGACTTCAAATTTCAAACATTTTCAGATTGGAAAGTAAATATTAAAGAGGAGCTCTACATGTCTAAACAGCGTGCGAAAAATCACAGTTTCCTATTTAAAAAAAATGAGTTTGCAAATAAACAGCGCCCTCGCTCATTTATTCATGTCCCTAACATGATAGACATTATTGTGGTGGAGTAATGCATTTGCACCCCCAGAACTGAGGGAACGGGGCGGACGTTGGACCCCACAGTTCTGGGGTTAAAGCATTTGCACTATTGCAGTCTAGGCCTATCAAGTACATGTATCATCATCGTGCAGTTTAACATGTTTAAAGATCAATCACAGTGCTTTGACGTAAAATGGTTATTTAACTGGGAATTGGTCAATTATATATAACAGAGTTTTGCCCTTACCCAACGTACATGTATATCAATAAGCACTGTATGTTCATGCTCAGTGGGAATTGGTCGTTGTTACCCATATCACATTGTACTAGGCCTGTCGTGACCAACGTGGCAGCTTCTCTTCACATTTATAAAAAAAAATTGTCCTTTTGGTAGTTCAGTTCCACTGCGCGAGAACGCTTAAGAGTAAAGAAAATGCATTGATGAGGGCGGCAAACAAACTTAGCGATTTGATGATGTCACAGTACGGCTCTCGTTCCCCCCAGAGTTTCTTTACCTTGCGGCCGTAATAGGGGTTTAATAGCACAAGAACAGAGAAAAAAACGGGTAAAATACATGTAAGACGCTGTTCTTGGCAAATAAGCACGGCCATGCCTGAAATCCATCACGACCTTACTCCTGTTTATATTGGGATGGTTGACCTTCCGACCTCTTTAATTCACAGTTAAGTGCAAGCAAGCACAGCACTCATGCACGCAGGCACGCTCGCCCTGAAATAATGAAACAGTTGTTTACACGTAGTTGCAGAGCCATAGTGTGACGTCATCAAAACAGGCTTCTATTGGCTGCTCCTGACGAGTGCTTTTGACGTCAGTAGCAATCTTTATTTAGTTTTTACCTACATAAACGTGTACTACAGCTGTTTATATATAACTAAATGTCATAAACATTGAAATTGTGAATTACCAATGTAATTGATCTTTGAGCTGAAGTTAATGGAGTTTCTCAATCAAAAATTGAATTTACTTTTCATGCATTACATGTATGCCATGGGTTTTGCATGTTTGGATGACAACCAAGCAAAGCATTTTATGCACACCCCTATGGAAAAGTAAATCAACGTTAATCTGCTTTCACTTTATTAGGCCTCAATCCGTGCCCTTTTCACACAGTCTTTCATTGTAAATTTGGGAAAAAATATTTACAAACCTCAAATTGTAAAGCTCACCAGAAAAAGCCATGGACGGGGATCACAAATACTAATGGGTTGGTATTGGCCAATCAGAAGCAGGACTTGAAACTCATTCATCCCACATTGACCAACCATTCTGCCTAAAGTGACAGGTTCCCATTTGGAAAGGCAGTTGAGGACAATGTTTTCTTCTTACGAATTTTAAAAGAAAAAAATTCTTATTTGGAAATATTTCTTTTAAATCATACTACGTGTATGGATGTCTCATTGACTTTGTGAGCAGGTAGCAAAGAAGACCATGCATTCTGCAGAACACTATGAAGTGATCTCTGACTGTTTCATTTCTGTCATAGGTTTATGCATACATTTCATGGTTTGTTTGTCATCCAAGCCCCATTTTGAACATTCTTTTCAATTTCGGTCACTCAACCAGGCCTACATTGTATATTATCTCCTGGTAATTCACGCAACACTGGCTCACCTCCCGAAATGTGATAGCTCCCAATTTCTGCATGTTGGTGTTTTTCATTTTGTGTTGCCAGACAATCTCCTTTTCCCAAGGAAACCATGGGGGACTTTCTTATGCTAATGAGCTCAGCAGAAATTATCACTTGAATAAAAATGAACTTGTTGGTCCAGCATGTCCAGACATGAATGCCAGCTATGCTTTTACTTTCACACTTAAATTAAGGTTTTGTACAGGGGGCACCAAAAGGTGCGTAGGGGGACTTCAGAAGTTTACCACGACTAATCTTTATCTGGATCCAGGCTCAACATAATGACTGTATTTTCTGAACATCCATTCCCCAGATGTGTGAAATGGAATTCGGACATCAGGGGTAGAATTTGTCAGGATTTTATTTTAATTTTGGGACCGTTTCCTCAGGATTTTCCTGTTTTTACAATTTCTCAAACAATCTCATTTAAAATCTGGAAAATCCCAAGCTTACCATTAAGGTTTTTTACGTATAAAGGTTAATATACATGCAGAGAGCCAAAATTGGTATTTTAAGGGAACCTTCATCAGGCAGACACCAATGTACATGTATGCCATAGAGCCATACAGTACACTGCCGTGGGGCCTTACAAACCTAAGTATTGTGATTATTTGGTGAATATATTGTTTTCCTCCTACATATGTACATGTATCTCACCCCTGAGACCTAAGTAATGTGGCAAGACTTGGCCCTAGGCTATTGCAATTTCAGACCTTTGTGTGTGAAAAAAAATCCTCTAACACTTAGAGACATGGGATGGCAAAATGGCAATGGGTGGTCGTCCCCCCCCCCGAAATCCCCCCTAAGTTTTTTGTTTTTTGACAAATCCACCCTTTGTCCACCCTCCCCGAAATATGCCCCCCTAAAAGACAACAAATTTATTTCTGGATTTCCCCCCTCTTCAGTTCAGAATCATCAATTGTTTTCATGAGTCTGGAACTATTTTATACATGTACCGGTAATTCAATTTCACTGCTTCTGTTTCTTGTTGATTTTATGGTTCCAGGTGGTGGTCTAGGCCTTGGAGTCATATTTTCAGTGTTCCTATTCAAAAGTAAGTACATGTGGTACACTTCTTGTTTTGAAAAAAAATCATTACAGGGATGTGTGTAGTTTACAATATAGAATGCCAAATAACAACATATACAATATAATACACATACATCTGCATTTTGATAACATGCATATATTTTACTCCTTTTTTATGCTAAATTTAAAATAAACTCATCTTTAACTTACATGCCCTATCTGGTGTTCTCTGTGGACTGTGTTTATTGCATATATTTCCAATATGGACAAGGTCCGGAGCTTTGGGCCAACCTCAAAGCTTGGGCAAAGGTTTCCGTTGAAACTGAAGTTGATCTCTTTTTTCCTGACTGAAGACAAAGTAGAAAAAAAGTCCTGTAGTTGTTCATTTAGGAAGCAATAAAGTTTGGTGACTGCCAGGAGAAAGATCCACCACACTCTTCCTTTCCTGTTGACGGGACCAAAATGGTTTTATCCTCGTGGGGATACCTGGTGTCACGTTTCAGCATATTTAGACCAATGGGCATTTATTTCCTGGTGCGTTGTATTTCAGGGAAGTTGTGGCCGATTCATATGGGCGGAGGAATAGGATTGGGGATGGGTATAGCCAACTGCAACCATCTATTCAAGGATCCCTACAATGTGCAAGGAACCATCGTAAAGGTAAATGTCTAGCTTTTTCCACCTGACGCTCTGCAGGTTACTAGGACAGTTCCACATACATGTATGTGACTACATGTTTTGTAACTTCTACTTCATGTACATCAGCATTCAAAACCCTCTTCGACTCGGCCCCCACTGTACATGTATCTGAAAGAATGTTGCAACATCATCAACTTTAAGACCAGGTCTGAGGTCACCATCCAATTTACTGATTGTCCTGACAACTCCATTGGGAAGCTGCAGAGACATTTTCCAGCTTTGCACCACGTCGCTGGAACACCTTACCCGAGGAGTTGAGAGCAACGCAGGAATTACAGTCCGGCCTCATTAATTAGAGATTCTTCGGATTTTGCAGATGACCTTGTTACATACATGTACCAGCAGCCTTGTATTAGCAAGAATCAAACTACAATAATAGGAGCAAAGGATTGGACCTAAACATTTCCTTGTTATAAGCAGAATGTTGCGTTGAGAGAGCACTTACATGTATTAACAAGGTTTGACAGTACATGTCTCTTTACCACCAAAAAACACACCCTCTTCATTCAGTTTCGCTCTCACACATAACCTTTACTTTTCCACTTTTACTTTTCCACTCACTGCCACCTTTTTTTTCAGACAGCCTGTGCCTTATGAATGATTTGCCGTCATTGTTATAACTTCAGAAACTCCACGCCCCGTCTGTCTTTGTGAAATGGCTTGCGGTTGCTCAGTTTTTGGATAGATCGAGGACTGTGCAGTTTTGTTTTTTTGTTTTTGTCTAGTCTAGTCAATTATTCGCGACCAGCCTACTGAGGTTGGTCCGTCATTGGTTGCCATAAACCATTTTAATAGCACAGAGAGGACCAGTTACATGCATAAGAAAAATACTGAAAAAATAATGTCACTAGTAAACAACCATTTTCACTTTTAGTTTTGCTATTTTGGCCGCCTTCAGCCACTTTTCCTCCCTTCGGCCTAACAACCTGACAACGGTTGACAAGGGTCGTTTGCTCTTCAACTTCACTGCACATGCACTAGGTACATCACCCACCAACCACTAGTTAACTAGTGGTCCTTGATCTAACTTGCCCATGTATGTGCCATTGAGTTTCATCGTAGCATTTCACTTTTTGTGTTTCTGAATGCATTCTAGCAAAAAAAACAAACTTCCCAGGAAGTTTGGGTTAAATCGAAAGTAGTTCCGATCTGATTACATGTATTTCCCCATCGGCTAGAGCGCACAGAAGTGCGGTCTGAATCATTACCTTTTGGTTATTTTTTTTAAATGATCTAATGACTTTGAAATGAATGATCTTCAAATACAAGGCAAAATATCGTCCATTTTTTTCCCAAGGTGAAATTCATCCTAGTATCCTTGTGTACGGTACGTTCCCGATTCGCATGTACACAGAACACCCACTGTGTATGCTCAGTACGTGGGAAAACGGATGTTTCACTTAATGCCAATTTCTCTGTGAAAAACATTTCAACCACACGTGGCAGAGTTTGTAATTGTTGTAGTCGATGTTGCTTTACTTCATATTTGGCCTTCCCCCCCCAGGTGCTGAAGGATAAGCCGCAAGAGCCAAGTGCAAGTCCAGAAACCAATACAACGACAGTAATCACGACAGAGGAGGCCCCCAAGTCTTAAGATGTAGCCGAGAAACTCACCATACACATTTGAGATGATTTCATTAAGCATCTGTTGGTTTATACCTGACTGTCAAGACAGCAGCGTCTGTAAGATTGCATGATGGGGCGATGCACCTTGCAAATGCAGGCCCTTTGTGCATAAGCATGTTCGTCGGTGCCACTCAAGTTTAATCGGGTGTGTGCAGTGGTTCTTGGCCTGCTCTTGAGACGAACTGTTGAACTTGCAACCAAAGCATGGCTGATTGATTTGAAATAATCAGTGGTCAGATTTACTCAGACCTGCGACAGAACCAGCTTCTCCTGAATTTCAAATTGTAGGATTGTTGTGTCTCTTGTTAATTGAAGGCCTACTGGGCCCAGTTTCATAGAACTGCTAAGTGAAACATCCTGCTAAGCTTCTTGTAAGCGCAAATCAGTTGAAAACGAGTTTGCTTGTTGCCCGTTTTTCCAGCAAGTGTTTCCAGTGCATAGAGAGTACTCAATGATTCTTAGCAGCTTTGTGGAACTGGGCCCCTGTGTTAGATAACAGCTTAGCGGAAACCATTGCTGAATTAATTTGCTTAGTAATTGCAAGGCCACCTTACCAGTCACCATAATTTTGTGTTTAGAATGGTATCAGCTAACTGAATTATGTAGCAGAATACTGCATTGTCAAGGTTTTCCGCAACTACTAGGGTGAACGGTAGCAAAACAGTTTTTTAATTAGCATATTTGTTTTAAAGTGTGCACAGTTTAAGAGAAACTTGATCCCCAAAGTGACAGTGATCTGTAACGAGTTGGTTGCCTCTGGGCCCTGTATTAAATGACGAATTCGTTTAATTTTTGATGGAGGGCTCGTCCTGCTTGTGCCTCTGAAGTGCTTTAGGAATGTTCACATGAGTGTCAACCAGGAAACAAGAATGAGAAATCCGCCGCATGTTCTAAAGCTGAAAAGCAGAAGGTTGAATTCACCAGCGTTGTTTGTTAAAGCCACATCTCTGAAAGTGGAACTGCGAATAAAGGGATTTCCGACTTGGGAACCGAGAGCATTTTTTTGCTACTTGCGTCAAATGTGGGAAGGAAGAGATCCACGACCTATCTTGACCTGATTCACCTGTGCCCCTGCCTTCAATGATACTTAAAAGAAGTGGCATACAAATACATACGGTTCATCGGCCTTCGGGTACGTGACCACATGGTACGCTTTCCGTTTCGTTTTTGATCGATGGACAGCATTCGTAGGTTTCTTTGATGATCAACAATAAATCTTGACAATGTTAACTTCTCATTTAGTTCTTCTGAGACCCATTTGTCCCCAACGGACTTCGATACCTGCAGGTTTCGTTAAAGAGAAGGCGCTCGATTCGCTGCACCAGTTGTGCTGCGTCGATTAGCTGTTCGTGAATGTATCATAGCGCCATCTTTTGGTGTGTTGGCGCAAGTTCTGGCAAAGCCCAGTCGTCCAACAAAACAAACCTTAAACGGAAGAAAAGAGGTTTTTGGTGAAGTGAATTGACCCTCGACTCTCTAACAAGATTGCCTACACGAGAAATTAGCGCAGGCTCAATAAATAACATCTGTCGAGTGTCAACATTAAGAACTGGTCGTGCATTTTTTGGCTAATTTACAGCCGAAATCGACATCCACTCACAAATGCAAATAAATCGGTTGTTTTCATTCAACGAACCCTAGACTCCACCGGTCAGAAGTGAAACGCGAGAGATTTGGTTTCGCGACCGTGCAACAAATTACACCAGACTGACTGATTTACACTGTCGTCTACCTCCCCTTCCAGGGTTGTGTCTATCACCAGCAACAAACCGCCCAATAAACCTCTCTCGAAGCGAGCGCGGCCTATGCACCGTAGGTGGGGTACAAATTTCAACTGCGAAAATAAACTATGCAAAGTAGCTTTGTAACAGGGTGTGGAAAGGCGCATAAATCAGATCGGGATGACTTGGGAGAGATGGACCCATCTTTAAAATTTTACTCTCATTCGTCGCGAGAGATTGTTGTTCGATATGTTACCCCATGCAATGTGTACTATAGAAACGTTCGTTAACCTTGGGCCTGAAAGATCTTTTTTATGCCTTCTGACTGTCTGACAACTGAAAGATATTTCAAGATGTACTTTGCGTCGGAGAGATAATTAGTCTTTTTAAGTACGTGTTTGACCCTTGCACGGACGTATATTAACTAACACTGTATACTCCGTGCTTGCCCAAGAACTGTGAGAAATTCACAAGCATACTCGGTCGGGACCTGAGCCCACGACCGACCAGTGGGTAAGACGCCTGCACTAGTATTAAGTATAAAGCAGGAGATTGTGGGTTCGTAGTCCCACCCGAGTGAGCTTGTGAATTTTTCACAAGCTCTCGGGCAAGCAGTGAGTGTGCAGTGTTGATTAGTTATATATCGGTGTAAAGGCAAAACTCCTACATGTAAACATGTGAAAAAAGTGTACAGACTAAAGCTTCAAATGTGGCTGCAAAGTTTACTTCATAATCAGAACAAAATGAGGAGGTACATTCAAAAGTATTTCACAATCGACGACATGAGCCTGCAGGATTTATGGTCTCAATATACCCCATCCTACGTTGGGAAAATAACTATTGGTTTGTGTAAATGAGTTTTGTCAAGACGTACGTGATGAATGTACATTTCCGGGGACTTGCAAATAACGACCGGGAACTTCCGGAAGAATGTACCTGGGGAAAAAATGAAGAAACAGTACATTGTACGCAATTTACGTGAGAGCAGTTTTGGTATTGTCAACAGGTTGAATCTGCTTGAAACCCTGAATCAAACGACAAGTTGTTCTTTTCAGAAATGTCCTTGAAATTTTAACAGTTCTTCAAATTGACGCTGTACGCGAAGAACTATCGTCAGTCCTGGCCCACGATTTCACCAAAAATACTTCTCCCGCCCCCGCGAACCCCCAAACGAACCGCTTTAACCTTGACAATGCCTCACACAAAGAATGACAAAAATGTCGGGTCATTCAGTTTATTTTTGATCGCACGCAAAGGATGTTTGTCTACCTCGAATCTCAGAAATCTAACAGGGCGGTGCTGCAGTAAATTGGACCCAGGCGGAGATGAAAGCTGCCCGCACCATTCCTTCGTATGACACAGCTAGTTAAAAGCTCTTAATGAACGTTATCGCAGTGACGGATGACGGACGGAGACGAACCAAAGTCTTTCATTTTTTTTTCATTTAGTTGACCTATGATATACATGTATTGGTAAATAATCGAGATCTGTTGTCAACATTTAAGCGTATGATTTTAAGGTCGACACCTAGATAAGAAAACGTCCATGTTTCCCACTGACCGCTTTTCGGAACAGGGAGCTTTTCTGATGCTTTGATAGCATAATATGGTGGTTTTGTTTTGTATTCAAATGGAGAATTTTCGACCACACACACGAAAGAGAAGCTGTTGACGGGAGCGAGGATTTTTAAGGCGATATGCTTTTCGTTGTGTTGTATAGTTGCACTCTCGATGGGTTTGTTGAACTTGCCACAGTGAAATCTGTCTGGAACTAAGAGGAGTTTGAGAGCATCGTAGAAACCCACCATTCTCACCTTTGTACCTAATCAGGAAAATAAAATAAAACACAAAAATAAAACCAATAGCGACTTCAAAAAGACGAAAAAATCCACTGGGATGATTCATCTTGGCCAAAAACGCTCACACTTGCTCAATTGTACAGTTCAGGTTTCACAATCTGAAGAGTTTTTTGATGATTCGCATGCACATGGTGAAAATAAGCGGTTTTTCCAACACTTTCCCTAATTTTAATATTTTGTAGTTTTTTCTGCGTTCATTGGTAATTGAATGGACTTTCGGCACAGGTCGGCCGAAGATTCTGAAATCAATCCTCAACTTTGCACACACGGTCAGCAACGAAACAAAAAGAAGGGGGTCTCTGAGCAGGTGGGGTGTCTGAATGTCAGGCTCAGATTTACAAATATTTTTGTAAGACAGAAAAAGTGTCAGAATGCGGACACAATGGCTTGAGATGACTGGAATTCCAGCAGCCGTGGAGGCAGGCCCCTCGCTGGAGAAAACAAATACGGCTGTGAGGAGGCAGCTAAGCTTAAAGGTATGGTGTCGTCGCCACGTGTAGCTGTCGGTATTGCATTTACGTGGTCACCTGCCTTTACAAACCTGTCGGAGGATTTTCCCCCCATTATAAATGTTACAAGACAAAACTCTTTTGAATTTGATTTCCCTATTCAAATTCAAGGTATTTTTTCTGTTACATTAATCACCAATTCTTCCCAGTATACCGGCAGTTTACAGTTGAATTAAAGTTTAATTTTCTGACGGTAAATTGCTGTAGTTTGTTTGACAGTAATTAACTGCAGTGAAAGTGACTTTATTTGTCGTGGCTAATTCACATTAATGTAATTCACTGTCACAGCAAATAACCGTGTTCTGTAATGACTAACATCATGATGTTATTTTGTTGGGGGTCCCCTAATGCAAATATGTAACAATCGTAGTGATTTACATGTGTACTGTACGCGTGGAATTACGTACATCGTATAAGAAACAGTTCTTTTACCTCATATCCAGAAATCCTGATCACAGCCGCATCGTGTATTTCAGTTATTCTAACTACTGTGCACTTCAAGTGGTATGTAATAATTATTGATTGAATGCTCCGATCTTGGTTAATAAAACAAATCTGTTTTCCATTTTTGCATGTAATTTTTTTTTAGACAGTGTATGGCATTATAATTATGCAAAACTACATCCGCAAAGTATAAACATGCGTCAAATATTGCGTTAAGAATGAAAAGTAGCAAAATTACTTGACGAAAGTAACATGCAAATCAAAATCACCGTAAAAATTTCTGTTGAGGGCGCAGTATTCAACTGTATTCCAAAAAGCCAAAGTAAATACGAGGAACAAACACATGTTCGTTATCTGTCAAGTACTGCTCTCAAAAGACTGTGCAGTAAACAGTGATATTTTAAAATGTGAACGTAAAAAAAATTGTATTAATTTACTTAAATTAGTTTTCTTGTGCCTAAGTGAGCGATCTGTTAGAGTGGCATCGTACCGATTTTATGTCATATGACGTCACTTTGTTGATGCACTGCTCGAACCGTGACCCAGTTTATTGGTCATCTGCTCATTGCGTGCGCAAGTAATTCCGCCCTCACGACCGTCCGGCAATGACTGACCTTGTCACCGTGCGTAAAATTCATTCTGAAGTGTAAAGGCAGCGCGGTTCGTTGCGAGCATGCGCACGCGGCCGCAGACTTGTTTCCTATTGAGTTCTTATTCTCAACATGAAAAGAAGTTATGCTGTGAAAGTGCCAAAATTGTCACGCTTAAGTCTCCACACGGAGATCATACCCTGCTGCCACACTGAAAATTTAATATTTTATCCTTGACGCGCGCGCCCTTTAAGCTCGCAGTGGGCAACCACACATCCTACGGCGCAACATCTGTCCATCTTGGGTTTCAGTGAGTGCCTGTCTGATCGGTCTCCGTGACACGGCCGGTAGTCGGTAAAAAAGAGCGCCGAGTCCGTGGCTGGCAACGAGCTCGCCCTCCGGTATCCGGACGCTCGGTATTTATCGGTCACTCGTCGCCGACGCGTGTGCAGTCACACTTGGGTTGGCGGCAGCGTCAGACGTTCCTACTGTTCATCCCACCTGCGGGTCGAGGAATCTAGCGGGCGTTCGTCTGCTTTCGAGCCAGGAAACTGACTGTTGAACGGCACTAGGGGAGCTCTTCACGAGAGAGCTGCATCGGTGTGGCCAGAGTTATCAATAGTTGCGCCGTCTGCGTCATCGTCGCCGTCGGTTGCGGACAGTATCTTCTCAGTCAGCGGCACGACAGGTCGTCTTCCTGCTTCCAGACGGCGGCACCTGTGGTCGGTCCGTCACGGTTGTATTATCACTCAAGACCGCCCCTGCAAACCCTACGGGGTTGCCTTAGCTTTCATCATGTGTCCCCGGTTCAGTGCGCTGTAAGAAAAGAACATCTTACCGTTTCGTCATTTCCAGGTTCTCCAGCCGAGACAAAAAAACCCCATTCACTCGTACACGGGAGTAGGCAGGGCTTTGAATTGCTTGGCCCGCGGGATGCACGCAAGTCCTGTAAAGTAACGAACACAGACTGCCACCTCTTTTGCGAGGATTGGAGGGGATTCCGGTTCACGCTCTTCAAGAAGACAGCGTACCCAACGAAAGTGATGCCACCGGCGTCCCGTTTGACCGTATACGTCCATTGACACATTGATTCTGCTGGTGGGAGCCGACCACGGACTTTATTGACATAGTCACAATAGTCATCCCGAATCTGTGACCGGTGAAGCGGAAAATCTCCGCAGCCAGGGAACCGATTTAACCCTCTCCTAAACTAATAACTAAAGTCTCACGCAAGCGGTCGACTGACCTCTGGATACCTGACAATTGTCGGGCGAGATTTGAGTGCCAGGCCTGCTGGAGGTGCGGTGAGACCCTTGGTAAGCGGGGTGGGTTAAGCAGGGGGGACTTGGTTTCGGTGGCACTCACTGGCCCACCATGGACGGCATCGTGACCAAACCCAACAGCGTGCACTGGAAGCGGCCCTCGTGGTACCGCCGACGGACCAGCTTGGAGCGACGTCTTCTCGTCCTGGCGGTCCTCCTCGGCTTCGTTGCCCTGTCCCTGGTCGCCGTTCTACTCCACGAGCTCATGACGGACAGAAAAGGTGAGATAACACTTTTGAAACCTCATCCGATTTCGATCTGGCATTCCACCAACGGCAAAATATTTTACAAGAACAATCGTCTGACCCACATGTACATTGGTATTAAAGTCCATCGTGCTTTGACTACCCTATCAAAAAAAAATTGACGGCTGATGACAACCCATTAAGAGACATACAAATTGCCTTATTTAGTTTCGCGTGAACAGGCGCGTGCGAGCCGCGAAAGAATTGTGTCAACAAATCCTCCAAACGTTTGTGTCGCTGTTAATAACGGGAGACAAATTCTTATTGATTCTAGAGTAAATTTGTCACAACAGTGTTGATCTACTTTACGAGTACACATTCCAGCCGTATCATAACAGATCCTTGGTGATAAGAAAACTACAGCTTGGAAAAAATTCCAATGAGTGAACGCGAAGACGAGCACCCGCATCCTCACCACGTTTTTTTTAGCCTTGTACTAACAGTTGATAGACGGAGACGGTCACGGGCCATGGGTGATTATCGATTTATTTTTCAGCGGAATTGTTGGCATAACTGGCTAGCCAAAAGAGGAGGCCACATGCACGAGAACTTGTTACACGCGGGGTGCCCAGAAAAAAAAATTACATTGTCTCGAATGTGACTATTTGTTCTGGGCAAAGAGCTCTTTGCAAAGCCGAGGTTACAGTCCAAGACTTTATCGGAGCGTCATAACTAATCGTTCGCATTCCATGCTGTCCAATTGAAATTAATGTCATTTTTTCAGGAAGTTCAATATCTGATTTTCGGTGTCACAGAAAGGATGAACTGTTTTACGATACGATCTTTTGACTCTTATGCTTTTTATCCTGAAGTGTTATGACACAGGTGAACAGTGGGGTCCAGGTCAGTCGCCTTTACTCTTACACGAACTGCCCCAAAATATTTTTTTAACCTGTACTATAATTAGAGTGAATCTTTGAAAATCGCTCCTCTATATATGTTTGGAAAATTTCTTTTTAATTCCCCCTCACCGAACCTAATATGGGGATTTATCTCACCACGTCACAATCGTAGGAAGCGTTGATTCATCACTGTACCCAACAAAACACCACTTTTCAGCGTAGGTTTTTGTGCCTTGGCCCCTTCCAGCAAAAATTCATGATGGAAGGTTTTCTGTTGTAGCACAGTTTAGAGTAAAGGTGAACCTTTCTGGTTTGTCTGTCTATACATCGAAATTTGTGATCAGCTGCAAAGCCCCTCGGCAAAATGATGTTTCCAATCCAACCACGAGCAAGACACTTGTGTCTCCAGGCAGGATACTTTGCCAGGTTTTTCAATAGCTTAGTCAGCCTCAGAGATTGGAAATGTGACGACTAGTTATGGGTTGGATCGGGTTTACCGTGATTTCTTATTCATGTGAGACGGTCTTTTAGCCAAACTGTGCAACGATTCTCAGCAGTAATTTCTTTTAGTCATGAAATTATTTGTGAGGTGAAAAATAACACGTTGTTTCAGTAGCCATGCCGGTAAACAAAAACAAAAAACACAAGCTACGTATTTGCGTCGCATTTTGTGCTTGGTGTTCTCCGACGAATATTTCAGCGCCGGAGTAGCAGGGTTGAAGACAACCTGCGGGCCGGGATTTTGTTGTCGAAACCTCGGGGTTTCCAGTACATTGCACCGACCACAGTCTGCGGAGTAAACAACTCCGTCCATGATGAACATTTCCACCCTTGTGAGCGACTGGGTATAAATTAACTGACGTAGGGCCCGCGGCGCGCGTTGCTAGGGCCGCCTTCGAATACCCCCGTCATGTTACAGGTCGCCGACGGAGTTCGCCCACAAATGTGAGCTCACACGTTACCACGGGACGCAAAATCACATTCAAGCTGGCGATTGTGTGGCCCACAGATACCACGCAAATCCATCTGTCTTGTTTTTCTCTTAGCTTTTCATTAATTCAGCTCGGCAGAGTGCATATCTGACTGAATTACTACTTTGATTTGATTAACGATCAATTTCTGCTCAAAACTGTTCAATAGCGTTGCCACTCCGTCAGTTGTTTTGTCATGAAACAGCAACAGTATTTTCTAAAGAGAAGGTGACCCTTAGTAACTGCGGCAAAAGAGACAAAATTCCCGAAGGGAAGGCGGCCTTTTGTAAGTGCGGGGGAAACGGGCAAATAAACAATACCCAACGCATACTATTTTTATGGCGTATTATGGCCTGAAAGTTTCTTTATGGTGTGTGAAAAATCAATTAAACTATGTTTTTTGTCATGAGAAGAGAACACCTCAAACAATGGAATTTTACTCGGTGCGGTTGAAGTACAGTACACTGCCTAGTTTTGGCTGCTGGAGTTATTTCTTTGAAATAAAAAGATTGAAAATCATATAAGTCATGACACCCCGTGAGTTGGGGTTGATAGAAAGTGAACAACAACCCGAGAAGAAAATCAGCCTAATGTGTAGTAAAATATGTATGTACCACCTTGTCCCGAGATGATAAATATTGACGGGGGCGTCTTGTAGGGGCCTCCGTACTCAAGGACATTCTTCACAAAGCACGCGTGGATCCCCTTCTGTTTATTGTCACAAAATGCGAATTACAGTACACTTTTTTCAACTGGGTAATTCAAGTGAAGTAGACTTTTGCCATGATCCGGTGGTCCCTGTGGGTAATCTGGATTCCAATACAGTCGTGCAGCAATCGCACTTGAAAACACCATGGCCTCGGCCGCCGAACAATGCCCGATCCCTCGCGAATTAGAGCTGCCTAGTAAGCCAGCGCTTTGGCCTCACTCAATGTTCACGTCACGGTCAAGGCCTCTACGCTTAACAGAGGGAACTGCAATCATCGAGAGACTGTTAAAATAGTAGGACTTGCGAGACGGGGAATTTATTTAAAACCTCTGGGGTGAGGGTTTCGTGTTTTTAATTTAATATACACACGGAAAAGGAAACAATGTTAATGTGCTTCCATTGCACCCTCCACCAACGCTAGGTAGAGTTCAACGTCGGCCTACATGTGCATTAATTTTTATTTGCTTCCCAGACTGATCCCATTTGAAATTCAATTTCTCATGTGTCTGCTTGTTTGTTTTTGCCTTGCTTTCCTTCCATTTTCCGTCATCTTTGATTCAGGCCGGGACAAATTTCGGTATTTTGTGGCTGAACACCATCTCGTTATACCAGTGCGCCATGTTGAATGTTTCAAACCCCGGCATCATCCTGGATTTTGGTTCATTTCACCCGGCTCAGAAGCGTGCGCTTTCCGTGTGTATAGTCCAGGAGAATAAAGGGAAAATTTATAATCATGACCTTGTACTGAGCCTGTCGTTGTACCAATTTTGTCCTGGACTGGAACGCTGCGACAAACGCATCTAGCCACGTTGGTCTATTATTATTAATTCTATTATTATTAATCATTTCTGGTGATGACATCAAGAATTCCTCAAAAGTGCTTGAGCACTGGAGATCGCAAGCCTCAAGAAAGCTGTATCGATGTTAAAGATTTCACCCGATGCAAAATAATAATTAGCTGCTCCGTGATTTGAAGTTCTTTACCTCAAAAAGCCTAATGGAAAATAAAGTGTGCTTCTCATTCGGGCAGTTTAGCTTTTTCTTAGTCGGCCATATTGAATTGAAAGCGAGGTTAAAGGTTTGATTTTGGCACCTGAGAACAACAATGAAAGCATTTAAATAAACTTCATTAAAGTGAATGCCATTTATAAAGATAAATAGTATCAGATAAATATTGATAAAGACGTTAACCTTTGTGATCAATTATATAAAATGTTTTAAGCTATCATCAAAAAGCACGAAAGTGAGGCATGGAACCCAACATAGTCTGCCCCGGGCACCACCAAATTTGATAGATCACTTTGAATAAGGTTCTGGGAACACAGTTGAAAATGGTTTTCCCCAAGGATAAGGTCTATTCGCAATCATGGAAGAATCCGTTTACGGTGTGAAAAGTACCATCACCATGCGGCGGGGACCAGGATTTCCCAAACTCATGACCCCAAATCAATGACTTCTCGTATACGGACTTGATGTCTGGACGTCACACACTGCGTCCCGGTCGACACCTTGCACCAGATTGCCCAAGCGAACAAACTTACACAGAGCCGAAGATATGCGAGGTATGAGACTCCCCTTTCTTTTACCCTCTCCAAACTACTCCGGAACGTTCGCACGCCACACGAGCTACGGGTCCCCATCTTTGTACATTCTCTGGAGTACGTTGTGTCATTTCAAGGCAAAAAAGGTTTTTTCGTCATTAAGCAGCATTAGCGTCAACTTCATGATTAAATCATACAGCTTGATTGGGAAAACAGCAGGCAATAGACATGAATCTAAGCCTCGATCACCCCTGGAACAGTACACCAAGACCTGCTAGCTCGCTCTAGTGCGGGGTCATTTGCATATCAAATTAATATTTGATATTATTAGGTGACTAACAGTTTAAAAGGAGATAACTCCACTTCGAAGTCATATATATGCGCAACCAGTGTAGAAGTTACACTGTATATTCTCTTCAGTAATCAGTGCCACATGGCACAAGGCAATATTGTGTTGAAGAATATATGACATTGGGATTGGGACACTTAATCAGCCAATAAGCGTAAGGGTATTCGAGGTAAAAGGGCCAAAAATAAAAAAATGAAGACTAATTTGTTTCAGGTGGTCGTTATTTGTGAGCAAACATATTCTGGCGTGAGTTTCTGATTTGTCCACATTGGCCAAGACCCTCAAGTTAAGGCCGGTTCATTGCACTTCAGGCGAATGCGAAAGTGACGCGAATTTGACGGCACGACAACTTTGCGGCCGAATGTCGCTCGAGTTGAAATGTGTTCAACGTTTTTTTTTCAAAAATGTGATCTGGTGTCGTCACAAATCCGCGTTCTCTGTCGCTTTCACGCTTAGTGTGAACCTTCCTTTGCGCGTTGAGGGCCTACTGTGGAGAGCGAGGTTACAAGTAGATATGTGAACGAGACTGCACGGCTCTAAAAAAAAAAAAAGAACAGGTACTTG